TTCAAATGAAAAAATCCAAGAAATTTCAAGTCAAAAAAAGTCAGTATTTTCGGTATTGGTACATACCGAAGTTCGGTATTTTCGGTATTAGGTATACCGATACCGGTGCATACCTAGGTGAAACTATCTCAGAAATCAGAAGTATCTCTCAGTTAAAATCAGCTAAGTTCTATAAAACAATACGTTGAAAAGTGAAGGTCCGCAAAACATAGCAACTTCTTAGCGTCTTTATCGTATTCTAGAAAGAAAGACAATTAACTATAGGAAATAAAATTTTTAGTGTGTGTTTCTGGTTTGTGAATCTTTTAAGTTAAGTTGTGTTAGAAATTCTAGACAAGAATTAGATCGATGAGCAGGTTTAAGTTGAATACTCAGTAATTAGAGCGCAAATAAAGATTAAAATGTTCTGAAATAGTAGAATATTAACGTAGCGCAACGTTTTGACGTCGACCTGTCAAATATTAGGTCTTAGATAAACAACAAAAAATCCCCAGAAGTGTAAGGTTGAGGAAATTTCACATTTCATCTCCACATTACGCACGAATAACGACCTCCTGTCTTCCCATTCCAAGAGTGAAAACGTTTTGCCGTTCTGTCTTCTTCAAAATGAGACGTCTCTTGCTTTCTAGATACTTTGGTTCAATAGGTATAAGCAAAAAGACCGAGCAGGGTAAAATGTGACTTTTTGGATATTTTTTCAGAAAATGAAGGAAAATTGTGATATTAAAATCAACTGTTCGACTTCTGCCGTCATCGAACAGAGGTGGCGAAAGTCTACTTTTGTAGGAAATCCAATTCTCTACAAGAATCAACACGATTCGAAATTCAAAAGTGAGATTTTAATATCGAAATTAATTAAAAAGTAAAATGAACGACTCATCGTAAAATGAAAATAATTAAATTTTCCAGTCAGATGGAGCTAAATCTGAACAAAAAGTACAGCGTTTCACTCAGTTTTTCACGGGCTTCTAATTGTATACTTGATGTTCAAACTGAGTTCTATCTTGACCGCTAATTACACTAATTAGCACTAATTAGTCATTATCTAATTAAGGTTCTGAGCTAGAGCGAAACTTTTTCCACCAAACGATCCGCGATTAAATTCTGCGTTGAATGGTGTGTCCTTTTTCCGCTTTCAGTCAAATTTCTTGGTTAAGAAATGCTAAATACGAAAAATAGCATAAAATTATGTCCTCCAGAGAAAAATGGTTTTTGCTCCAGCTGTATCAAATTAGGACCAAACTCAAAAGTTCTTTTATCATATATACTGTGAGATGTGAACTTCATTTTGGTTTACTTATGTTTGGTTGACTTGATTTTTGCTTGAGATTGACGCCTCTAGCTATCATGAGAGTTGAGTTATACTAAAAGTAAAAAATTGCATAAAATTATGTCCACCACGTAACTCAACTATACAAGTTTCGAGTTTCTATTTTCAACTACTCAACTTTTGATACTCCTGTCTTCAACTGTTCAACTGTTCAGACATCGATTAAAATGTCCAGTGGTGATCGTACTAATGAACAACGAAAAGATGATTGTTTAAGTCATGGTCAAACCTTGCTTTTATCGACTGGATCAACATCTCATCAATCACAACAAGAACAACAATAACAGAATATAAGAAAAAAGAAAAAATGTCTAGATGATCGAAAACGACAACGATTGAGAGCAAAATTACATAAACGAGGATGAAACAATGAAACTATTGCGGCTATAATCAATAATTATAATAATTCTATTCAACGTGAACAACAAGAAGAATCCATGACTTCTAATATGGATGTGGAAGCATTAATACCTTTACGAGATCAGGTATGAATGACAAATAAAAGAATATAACTCGTTCCTAGCTCAATAATGGCCATAACACATATAAGTCGAATGCATCTGAAGGAACGCGTTTCATTTCGAAAACACGCGTTATAACGTTATAACGCGTCTTTTTCGATGAACAGTTTTCAGATGCGTTAGAATGAGATGCGTCTCTTTTCTTTTTCAGTAAAAGATGCGTTCTATTCAATCAGATCTAGTTTGAAGCGTTTCGACGCGTCTGAATGAGACGCGTTTAAGCGTGTCGAGTTTCTTTTACTATAGAAGGATGCATCCAGACGCGTCCTGTTCAGTCACAAGAAGTTTGTCGCGTCTAGACGCATCTAAATAAGACGCGTTTAAACATATCTCTTTCCATTCGGTCTAGACGCGCTCTGTTGTTCTTCGAAACAAACTCCTATTCACGCTGATATACAAGTGTTTCTTTTCTTTCTCATTGTGTTCAGTTCACATCTTTTACTACAAAGATTAGGCTGTTTATGCAGTCTAGAGTTGCTTTATAAATAAAGACAGTATGTGCAAAATAAAGAAGTTTTAAATTGCGAATCCGATTTTCGGCAACAGAATTAAATTTAAAAATTTTAAAAAAAAATGCGTTTGAACACGTCAACATAAGAAGCGTCTAGATAGCGACAAATGGTGCATATTTGCTCTACCTAGATGTGTTTGAATAAAACCCGTTTGAATGCGAGACTATATGACGCGTCTACATGGCGTCAAATGGTGCATATTTACAGCGATTAAACGCAGACAAAAACGCGTTTTCAGACGCGTTTTCGACTCTAAAATATTTACATGAGAAGTTAGCAATGAGATCAAAGATGGGGGTCGATAAGAGGCAAAATCGGCCCCTCTCAGATCAATATCATATTCACAGGTCTTATGTAGTTTTCTCCGTGATTAAAAACAGCACTTTAAAAGAACCATTTTCACCTCGCCTAGTAAAAATTTCGCATCCAAATTTTTCTGCCCTTAGATGAACTCTATTTAGAATATTCCTCATTTCTTCTCTTTTTCTTAAAGCAGACCCCAACTACCGTATACCACTCAATGGATAATTTCAGGGAGATCACTAGGTTTTCTAGAAGACCGGGTTTTTCAGTAAGCTCCATCTGAAGACTCCGAGGTGTAGCATAAGTTTTCTCCGTCGAAATATATAGGACTCTATGCGCTCTTCCATTTAATGTCAACTTCAAGGTTTTACGTTAGGGAATGTGGTCAGCAGACGTTCTAAAAACTAGGCCAAATCCACCGGAAAATGACGAAAATGCATTTTTGTGCTGTGAGGGCAAAATGGCTATAGCTTTTTTTCTACCAAGGCTGGAGACTTGCGGTTGTCACCATTCGGTTCAGCTTGCTGATCTCTATAATAGGAGGTAGGTCTCGTCACTGACAACAAAGGTCCATGTAAATGGTAGTTGGTTTTATATGGATTTAGTCTATCCGTCGATGCCGAAAACATCACTCTCCAGTAGTATTTCTAGTGTTAGAACCCTCAGGCCCAACTTGTTCTCAACATCCTATACATCATTTTGTAGCCCATAAAATTCTCCATTAAATGATATATACAGTGGAGTGGTTAATTAGAAAATCACTGAATAATATCAACGATGGACGATGCTGACCTATCGATTCGTAGAGGTCGCGACTAGTATTTCCAGTGTTAGGACTCTCAGGTCCAATTTGTTCTGAATATTTTATATATTATTTTGTAGCCCGTGAAATTCGCTATTGGATGATATAGAAAGTAGAGTGGTTAACGAGAAAATAGCTGGACAATATAAGCGCTGTGGATTTGTGAGGGCCGGGGCTAGTATTTCTAGTGTTAGATCACCCAGACCCAATTCTCAATATTATATACATCATTTTGTAGCTCATGAAATTCTCCATCGAGTGGTATACGGTAGTTGGGGTCTGCTTTGAGAAAAGAGAAGAAATGAGGAAATACTCTAAATAGAGTTCATCTAAGGGCAGAAAAATTTGGGTGCGAAATTTTTACTAGGCGAGGTGAAAATGGTTTTTTTAAAGTGCTGTTTTTAATCACGGAGAAAACTACATCAGACCTATGAATATTAGATTGATCTGACTAAGGAACCTCCTGAGATGCTTAAAGCCTTTCTGAATGGGACTATATTTAAAATGTAGGCCCTTATGGACTATGAAGAATCCGAACTTGGTTCGGGCGCAATCAGCTTTGTTGTTGAGCTTTCGAATTTTTAGTCAAGTTTTCCCCATGGAACCTGGATTTCAAGCAAAATCGGAGTTTTGAATTTTGTGTTGAAACTTATCACATACTGTATCCGGAAAAATTTGAGTAAAAATTCGATATCTCGACAACAAAGCTGATTGCGCTGGAACCAAGTTGGCATTCCTCACAGCCCATGAGGAATCACCTACATTTTAAAAATAGTCCCATTCAAAAAGGCTTTAAGCACCTCAAGAGGTTCCCTCGTGAGAGGGTGCCGATTATGCCTCTTATCGACCTCCGTCCTTTAGTTAACAAACTGAAAATTAAAATTTCCTCATCAAAGAATTAGAGATCGGTACCGCTAATAAAGCCTTCATTGCGTTCATTTGATATCTTTTTGTGTTCTTTTACATAGCACCAAGTAGCCAAAAAAAACCAAACCTCTAAAATATTATTTCGTGTATGATGTCATTTCTATTGACTTCTCCCTCTCTATAACATCCAAACAGCTACTTTATTTAAAACTATTAATAATTCGATACCCTACGCAGATTCGCCCTACAAGTAAATTTTTTTTTTCTAAGTACGCAATTTTTTAAACGATTATTACTATATCGTCTATCGTGCAGTGATTCATTATATTGAAGACAACTCAAGATTTGAATGTATAGATAGAAATAGAAATAGAAAGTTACTTTGTAAATATGTAGCGTTTTTCTTTTACTCTCTACATTGTCATTTGTTTGCCATACTTTTTTTTCTTTTCTTTGTATTATTATTGCAACATGAGGGTCATTATTGTATATTTATTTGCTATTTCCATTGTATTCAGAAAATTGATGCAATGATGCCTTCTCGATTTCATGTTTTCAGTGAACGTCGTACAACATGTCCTTATTTGTTTTATTATTGTGAATAAAATTTAAACTAAACTAAGTTAATCTATGATTTGTTGCATAATGTCAAACACCTATGGCATCTAATCAATAATAAAAGATTTATATTCATCTTTCAGTTTCATAATAGCTGTAAATTCTAAACAAAGAGAAAAAGTAGATTGAAATTGCGTGCTATGCTTTGAATCTTTAGAGAATTAGAACAAAAATCACATGTGCGTGGGCATCTCCCTCAATTTTACAGATATGCATAAAACTCAAAAATGTATCATTACCTTTATAATCTACTTTACCATCATTATTTTTGTCTGCTGCTTTCATCATTTCTTCTACATCACCTGCCTTTATATTTTCACCTAATTTTTTCATAACAATCCTAATATAATGAAATTTGGAGAGAGAGAGCAGTTGAAAATCGTAAAAGTTTATAAAGAAAGTGCAAAACTGCCACGAACATGATTATAAATCATAGAATAATTCATTGTGATATTTCGGTAGGTTGCTGCTCCATCATCAACCAATAAACGTTTACATAGTGTCAAATTGACAATCTATTGTATATATATATATAAATTATTCTATGATTTATAATCATGTTCTTGGCAGTTTTGCAAATCCTAATATAACATAGCATAACATATACTTAGATTTTAAAGAGATCAAATAACACTGTACGTGCAATACATACTGTATTTCATCAGGCGTTATAAAACCACTATTATCAATATCAAATGCTTTAAATGCATCCATTATTTCATTAACTGTAGTAGTTTTAGTCGACCTAGCAGTATTAGTTGATGCCATTTTGCCGTTGTTGTGTGCGTACAATGACAATAGAGTCTTTAGGATTACACAGTTTCATACGCTTCATAGGTTTTTTTCGTGTGTAGGATAAGTAGACAGAAAGAACAAGAAAAAAAAGAAAATATATCTGAGATTAATTGACGCTGATATAATCCGTCGTAGAAGAAGAATGTCAATATTGGTTCATAGTTCTATCGTCATGCACTTCTTTTTTTTTAAACTTTATTTATTCATTGATGAAACAAATAGTTATAACTAAAGACAGGTCAAAAGAAAGCAAAGCCCAAGAGGGAAAAGACAATACTACACTACACTACAAAGGATTTTCCACTACAAATCCACTACAGCCCCGTGACCACTACAAAGTCACTACAAGGTCACAACAAGGCTACTACCGTAGTGGAAAAAGTGTAGTGTAGTGTACAGTAGTGTAATGTTGTTTTTTCCCCCTCGGCAAAGCCCCATTATCACCGTCCTGTCTAGCCAATAAAAAATAGAGAAAATAAGAAGAAAGTAGCAAAGAAAAGAAGGCAAATATATAATAAAAAACAGAAAGAAAAAAGACATAAAGGATACAAACAAATGGCAGAAGAAAGGAGAGAGAGGATCGAATATGCAAAGGGATGCAGACCAAATTTTACATCATAAGCCATTTTTACATCGTAAAGTTAAAAGAATATATTTAATGACACTTCTGTAGACTATCAAATACTGTTCCTTTGAGAGGCGAATTTTAAGTAAGAGTAATTCACTACTTAGGGGTTGTGACAACAAAGTTGAGAGTTTCTGTTCAAGATTATTTCGTTACGATCGGGAGAACACACAATGTAGCAGATAGTGATCAATACTTTCAATATCACCGCAAGTACAAAGATTAGTGAGGCTCAGTTTTTTAGTATACAAGCTTGCATTTAGAGCTGAAAAGTCCACACGCAAACGGTTGAATGAGATATCTGCTATTCGATCAATACCATACGTTCGATAATGAAATATATTCACATTAAAATAGACTTTTAGTTCAGTCTTAAATTTCTGTTGTCGGAAGCGCAGCTGTTTGAACTCCGATCGACTGCGAAGCGAATAAGGAATTGGATCAGCTTTTTTACTACGTGCGCGCAAGTATTCGGACGTATCGTCCGATAATGTCTTTGAAAAGAATAAGTTTATTCATATCAAACGTTATTTTCAAATCAGGCTAGCCTAGTATATCTAAAGCGTTTTCTCTACCTGATAAGTACATCGATCCAGAAACCGCGAATTGTCACCGTCTGACCCTAACGTTTTATACATGGATCGATACAACATACTGTTGTAGTAAAAAGTCTACAAGGATTTTTCTCTATTTGTTCAACAGTTGTTTTTTTCAAGAGAAACGTGGGAAAAGTAAAAATTTTATATCTCTTCAAAGAAAAGGAGTTGAGGACTGGATTTTTCTTCTGTCGCTCTCCTGCATATCAAATAATATCCACAAAACTTTTCATCTCGTTCCATACAAGAGTTATTGAATTTCAAGTTTACTTGAGTTTTGCCTTTTGATGATTTGAGAACGAAATGCGTCTAAAATCGTCAGTTTTCGATCAAAACCGTTGAACTTGTCAGAAATTAGATGATTTCGACTACGCCTGCTGATGTAAGTATAAGAACTCGACCAAAACTGGTCAACTGATTTCAGGGTTTTTCAGAGACCTGCTTAAAAATCGGAACTACCGAAAGTCAGAATTTTCTGTTTTTATCGGCTGCAGGATATCAGTCTTAAGGAACAACGTTTGCTAGAGTAAAACGATTCGTAAAATATTTACTTAATCGCTTCTTAAAGGTATCCCTCGTGTTTGCAAAAAACTTTTCATTTTGTGCTGAATAACCCAAGCGTCAAAAAAAAATCTAGTATCGCCCGATTCATCTAGATTACTAGATTTTTACTCTATTGCAACTACTGTGTAACGACAGTGGAAATCTAGTAATTGGGCGATTACTAGATTTTTTCTAGTTGCAACTATCGATTTATCACCCGATAATCGATCGATTTAACTATTGCTAGATGCACCTGCAG